CCAATTGGTTTTATGGTGGAACCTTATCTTTTTTCATGGTAATAGAGCAGGTTGTCCTACGTGTGAAACTCAATGGCCACGCATGCTCCATGTCACTCCGTTGTGTTGTTCACGTGTTAAGCTTGAAAATTTCTCACATGTAAGGGAGCGTGTTGAGAATGAATCCCACATTAGTGAAAAGAGAACTTTGCATGAGCTTATAAGTAAGTTGAGCTACTCCCTATATTACCAATTAGTTTTATGGTAAAACCTTAACTTTTGTTACTAATATAGTATGCACTTGTGTATAGAATCATGTTTTAAAATGACTAATTTATCACCTTCCTTGTGTATAGAAATAGAAAATTTAAAATGACTAATTTATCACCTTCCTTGTGTATAGAAATAGAAAATCTTACTCCATTATATCTTTTTCATATTTAACTTGCTTGTCAACCAATAGTCACAAGTTTCACCACAAAAAAAACAAAAAAACATTTTAAAACCCAAACTAACTAACTTTGTTAATCCCTAATTAACCAACCTGAAACCTAAAAGCATAAAAAGGTAATAAAATTCAAAATCTTGATTAATGTACTAGAACACCAAATTTCACCCAATTTATTTATATAACAATTCCACAATCATCTTACTAAAATTCAATATATATTAGACTATTCGACTATAATAAAACATAAACGGCAACACTTAGTCCGAATTCACGTAACTGCAGGATAGAAACTGCAATGTAGTTTATGATTTGAGCTTCAAGGACGAGCTAGCACGTCAAGTTTCAATTTTCAAGTCTCAGTCAGATCATTAAGAATGAAAGATAGAGTCATATTTTAACTATTCACAAGGGCATGAAAACCCATATGACATTTTGCATTAACCTATACTAATTAATAACAAAGCCCATTGACTTTGTCCAAAATCAAAATTAACTCTTGGTATATTTCTAATTACTAAGATTATATTGATTTTTACCTATATTTCCTTATTACTTATACAATAATTATTTGAACACACAAAAATGATACATACTTATTGGCTGATTGGTTCCCCTTCTAAGACCATCTCCAACCTTTGACCTAAAACCTAAAATTTTTAGCCTAGAAAATTTAGGTTTTAACCCAGAAAATAGCTTTTCTGCTCCAACCCTTCTAGCCTAAAATTTTAGCCCAGGATTATTAAAAAATGAATTTAGGCTAATTTTTTTTTTTCTTAAATTAACTTTTTTCAAAAAAAAAAAAAATATTATGCTAGACTACAGTAATTTAATTTTATAAACATTTTATCTAAAAATATTTAAATTCTGATAAATATTGAAAAATCATTAAATCGACACATGAAACTCACCAAACTTTCAACTTTCACCAATCGTTCAACTTTCACCAAACTTTCAACTTTCATCAATCATCCTTTATATAAATACAGGTTGAATATCAGTTAATCACACAATCTTTCAACCTTTAATCATCCTCTATGTTCACCAATCTTTCAACTTTCAAAGTGTTTTTGTTTCCTAAAAATCCTCAATATCTCATTAATGGGTGATAGAAGAAGGCAGTAGCAGGGTAATGTAGATGACACAATACCAAGCAAGCCTTGACATTGAGGATACATAAATGATTAATGTAGAAGCTGAACTTGCAAACTCGCTTATGCAATATGAGCACCATGCCGAATCTAGCTATTGTGGTTCTATCATGGGGCGTTCGTTTATGCAAACTCAATGATGTTGTCAATGGATGGGCACCAGAATTTCGGTACAAGGTGAATAGTAATAGGTATGAGCTAGGTTACTGCCTAACTAATGGTATTTATTCTAGTTGGTCTACCTTTGTCAAAAGTTTTCTCATCCCGATAGTGCAAAGAATAAATTATTTTTGCAGAGGCAAGAGTCTTACAGGAAAAATGTGGAAAAAGTGTTTGGAATCCTACAAGCTCGATGAGCCATTGTTAGAGGGCCTACACGACTTTGGCATACCGATGACCTCCATTCAATCATGATGACGTGCATAATTTTTCACAACATGATTGTGGTAGATGAGTACATCAAAATTGAAGAAGATTCAGACGAAGATGTGGATGATGACCAACCAACACATGTAAGAGCTATTGCAAGAGATGTTGAATATCTCGCTGAAACCACATACGAGACCCGATAGGATAGGGTCATATTGAGCGAGTATATGAGACGTTTAAATAGAATTCAAGCTCCTCAAGGTCATGACACACTTCGCAAGGATTTGGTTAAGCATGTATGGCGCTGAGAAGGTGAACGTTGATGATGTTGGTTGAGCATTTATGTAATAATTTTAAGTGTACTATGTTGGTATTTTCTAGTAATACAGTTAAGTGTCTTCTTGTGCAAATTATTTTGTGTAGTACGTTGGATAAATTATTGAATGGAGGTTGAATTATTGAAGGTATCTATTCTACATCAAAGTGTGGAATAATAAGTACAATAATTATTGAAGGCATCTAGATTAATAGAAACAATAATAAGTACACAAGACAATTAATAAAGTACATAAACTTAATACAAACAACAATTAATAAACCATATAAACTCTAGACAATTGATAATTCATACACTACATAAACTTAATAATCATATCCACCATCTTGACTTGGTGGTTGACTTGTTGGTGGAGTTGGTGGTGGACTTGGGATATAGGGTTGAGTTGATTCATCATCTTGAAATATACTCCTTGTGGCATACTTTCACAAAATTTCCTTTTGCTTACCACGTAAGAACTTCTTCCTCTCTGGAGTGTATTTGTTAAGGTCCTCCATCATGAAATTAATTTCAAACCTATCTTGCTCCCTATGCCCTTCTTCCTTCATTTGCAAACGCATTCGGCCTGCTTCTTCTTAGCAAGTGCTATGAGTTTCGCTCAATTTTGCAATTCCAATAGCAATGTGTCCACTCATCGATCTTGGGACTTCCCTTTTCTCTCTTGCTTCCTTTTGCTTATCTCTTTCAGGGGCTTGCAAAAGAAGAAGTTGGGGTCATTTGTTTGACACCTTTATTGACACCTTCATTGGCAACTTCATTGAAATCATGTGGGGGCGGGGCTTCACTATGAAATAATCTTCCCTATTGTTGGTCCGCATTAGTTCCCCACCTCGGACAATCCTTAAGGACGTTCCAAGCATGATGCAACTTAAAAGCTTTATTTTTTGTTGTAGTTCTTGTCTTATAAATTGTCATTGCTTTGTCACCCTATGCATCAAATACGTAAAAACAGTTAGTTGAAAAATACTATTTGGTACATGACAAATAAAATATCAACAAAGAAACTCACAATTTCTAAGAAACTCCTTCCACTAGGCATGTCAATTGTGGCTCTCTCCAAGCTTCCCTTCCACAAAGTGCACGCTTTGTTGATAATCTTCTACTGATCATAAACACCACTAGCTTCCCTTTGATCGACGTTGGAGTTTTCATGGAACTTATCAACGATTTTACCCCACAAAACCTTTCTATTTTGATTCGTGTCGACGACACCATCTTCGCTAATAGAAATCCATGCCAAACATAAAGCAATATCTTCAGTCAAAGGTCCAATTACAACCTCTAACATGCTCTTTTGCCATCTTGAAAATTTGGAAATGAGAAGAAATGTTAGAAAGAAAAATTGGAAGAATTGTAGGAGAAAAGTGAGTTTTGTGTGGATGTTTGAACAAATACATAGGTATTTATAGAGTTTTTGGGTAATTTTTGAGTTAAATAATTTTTTTTAATTATTTTAGCCGTTGGATTTAAATTTGGACCGTTAGATCTTTTTTTTTACCGTTAGATTTGATTATATTCGATCTAAACCGTTGGATTCAATAATTATATAAATATAAAAAATTTGAACGTGGACCGTTGGATTAGCCAACGGCTAGCGACATGATGTGACAGCTAGGGGACACACCCACGTGGGTGGGGTCCCATTGGGCTGGCGTCTGGCGTGAGTTGGGTTAGCATCTGGGCTTCACAACTCGTGGTGTATTTGCACCAGCTGGGGTCCACTCCAACTTGTGGCCTAAACTTAGGCCGATATTTGGCCCCGGGATGAGTTTAGGTTTTAGGTTAGTTTTAGGCCATGGGTTGGGTTGGGTTTTGGGGTGAAAGAAAAGGGAATTATAGGTTTTAGCCCAGGGTTGGAGTGGGTCTAACAACATAACTTTATAGGTTAGATACTTCAATATGTTATCAGAGCTATCAAGTGTAGGTCACCCAAGACCTACGCATGCAATAATCTCTTTTTAAGTAAAAAAAAAAAAGAAAAGGAAAAGAAAAGGAAAATGTCAAATTATCAAAGAGACGGGCTAAATGCCCATTTCCAACAACACCGATATTGTCCTCAACTTGGTAATTATTATCTGCACAACATCGATATTAGTTGAACTGGGGTTATGACATTTAAACTCTTCTTTTCTCAGAGCTATGGTCGATGTGAGATATTTCGACACGCCCTCTTATGTGGGACTCAATTAGTGGGCCGCACATAGGAGATTTACACATCGGTAACCATGTGGAGCCAAAAGGGGACTCACCCTATGCAGGGTCAAGGGACCCACCATCATCGCGTGGGGTCAAGGGGACCCACCGATTATGTGGCAGTACGGGCCTACTCCTTGCCTCTGATACCATGTCAAATTATCAAAAGATACGGGCCAAAGTCCCACTTTTAGCAACATCTATATTGTCCCCAACTTAATAATTACCACCTGCGCACAATTCGTCAGGTGTGAGTTTTAACACAAATGACCTTGATATTAGTTGAAGTGGGATTAAGATATTTAAAGTCTTATTTTCTATAAAATAAGGTCATTGTGAGATATTTTAATAACATTATCTGACCGTGAATATGTGATAATTACACTTAAAAAAAATTACAATGACGGTATGATAAAGAGATATGACAAAGAAAGACCGCTCTCTAGTTAAATGGGGAGACAAATGAGGATAAGGAAATAGATATTAAATAAGAAAAGTAAACAAGAAGAATCCAGTTTCGGCCGGCTTAACAGAAAACTCTCTGAACAAAGTTCTAAGAAAGTTCCCAACCCTCTTGTCTGACAATACCTATGCCTTGTGCTTGTCTCCTGTCCCCCGCCTTCACCAACACCTCCTCTCTATAATTACAAACCCTAATTTCCGATATTTCATATTACCATCATATATCCTAGAAAACTAAAACTTAAAGTTTTGTTTTGAAGTATGAAGTCCAACCATCATAATCATCAAGATTCAAAGACCTCCAGTACTGATGAAGAGGCTGATCATCAACCGGATGCGAACGATGACATGGGTACAGGGCGGTCGTACGAGTGTGTATTTTGCAAGAGAGGTTTCACAACGGCGCAGGCCTTGGGAGGACACATGAATATTCACCGGAAAGAGAGAGCCAAGACCAGACCTAGTTCAGCTCCTACAAGTTTGGCTTCGTCGATTAGCACGGCAGTAGAAGATCAGAATCATCCCAGGGCAGCATTATACCGGGCAATTCAAAGCTACCGGCCAGGGCCGCCACATTATTTTATAGCTCTTCCGGATGACCATATGAACTACAGAACAGATGTGCCTGCATCTAATACATCAGGGGTGTTAAGGCCCCCACATGCAAATCATATTAGTGATGAGGACTTGTGTGCAAGAAATTATATTCCGAGGCACCGGAATCTGCTAAGAGATGATCATCGGGATTGGAGATCAGGGAGTAGTTTGAGCTTGGGAATGGGCCAGCCATCAGATGATTACAAGGAGAGAGTGATTAATGGTGGCCTTGAAGAAACGGACGATGAATTGGATTTGGAGCTTCGACTTGGTCATGATCCCTAAGTTTATTTGTTAATTTTATCAAACATTTGAGAGATCATAAACTATACATTTTTATTAATTAATTTGTACACCACTTTTTATTTGTGCGTACAGTTATGGATTTATCTGTACAAATTTCCATGTGATACTTTTTTTTTTTTCATGGAAAAAAGTGATGAGTTAATAGAATATCTCAACATCCCAAATTTTCATGGCAATTTTACTCTAACGGCCGGCAGGATTTAACGGCAGGAAGAAGGAGCAATTTTACCCAGGTACGTATAGTAAAGAAGGTATTTTGCTTCATCCATCAACACACCTAGCCCTAATGTTTGTTAGGTTTTTTTAAGAAGTTTTCTTATAATTTATGTCCTCTTCTTCCTTCCATTGTATATGTCTCTTTTAGCCCAAGTTTTGCTTATAAATTTGTACTGCTGTACTTCATATCATATTGTATGAAGAGATTGAAATTTCTTGTTATCCAGAATGACATAATTAATTTGCTTGAATTCTTGCTTCATTAAGCCATATAGCAGTTATCATTAATTGCTTTTTTTTTTTTCAAGAAAATGAATCAACAAGTACTGGAAAACTGTTAATACTAACTGGGAAACCTTGCTTAATTCCATGTTCAAGTACCCTACAAGTCAAGTTTCTCTTGTGCCCTCTGATCCGTGCCAAATGGTCTTGTGTACGTCTAAATCATCGCATACCATTGGCCGGTGTAGCTCGACTATTCAACCCCAACTTGCCATACACATTTCAGGTTCGCTCTGAGATTTTAGACTAAATTATTCTTTTTTAAGTTTCTTAAGTTACATTGGAGGGTTTAAACCCTGGACCTAGGATTGTCAGCCGTATATGAATATGGTATCAAACTTAGGTTATACAAGCTTAATTTGTGCCGACAAAATTTGTTTCGTAGGCTCATTCAACTGATTTTAGGGTCACTCTCATGTGCAGTAAACACATTAGTTTTCATTGTTAAGTTGTATCTGTCTTCATAAACTTGGCAATCTTTTAGATTTGTATGTAATATATAGTAATATTTGTACAAATTAAACGAAGATACTAGTATATACCAGGTAAGATGTTAACCATTTATAACTATCATATATAGTTTTTCTAATTTTATGAAATGATGATAACGGATTAGGCGAGTTAAACTACATATAAGGCTTGAACTATAAAGAATCATGTTAGTTGTAGCCCTTGATGTTAATTAGGAAAATTAGTAATGTTTGAAGTGGCCAGCTGATAATTATAAACAGCGGATCTCGAATTGATGTGTTAAAGTTTTGATTATTTGGGATTTTGAATGGCATGCTTTGTGGGACTTTGGGATAATTTTCAGACTACATCTTAGATATATAATTCTTAATAATTATATGGTTTTTGTTCAATTCTATTGCTTTTTAATAATTTTGGCTTTAAAGCTCTTTACTCGCTTGGAAAGGGATTGTAAAATCAAGGATGAAAAATCTTTTACTTTGTACAAACGATATGTGGAAAAACAAAAATCAAACTTAACTGACTTCAAATGCAAGAATAAACGAGTCTAACCATTTGAGCTATACTCCCTTTGCAAGAATGAGAGATCGTAGACTGGAGTTTTTGTGCAAATTAAATAGCTGCGCTGATGAGTAGCGATCCCTACAATTATATTTCTTGCATTTGGTTTTATATTTTGACCATCAATTAATTTGATATTCTGCAGCAGCGTGCGCACACACTTATATATATATATATGTTGGAAGACTATAAATAAATTCGGAAGGACAGTGTGTATCTTTTATGCGGAAGCTTGAATCTCAACATGCTCCTACAAACACGATCAACTGCTTTGACCCTCTGTGCACGTCTAGAACCTTGCAGGTCATTGATGGGGTTGGCTATGGTATGTCAAGTTGCCCCTTGGTTTTCGACTCCCAAGACCTAGGGCTGAAAGTGATAGCCCTAAAGACCTAACTAGAATATTTGAATTGTGGAAAAACTTGTGTTTCTTGTATTTTCTCTCTTCTCAAAGCCTCCTTATATAGTGGTTGAGAAATGTGTATAAAGACTGTAAAAACCCATGAAAATCTCAAGTATATTCTAATATGAATATCTCTTAATTTTTATCTATTTATCACATAGATAATTAGGAGATTAATATCCTTATATAAATGAAATATCATTTGATATTTATTTATCACATAAGATAAATCCTATCATATATACAGCAATTACTGGAGGTTGAATATATACTAAACTATAAATAAAATATTGTACGTACATGATCGCCTAAGCATATAATTAAATATATAAAAGAGAAATCTGACTTTGACCAAACGAAGTAATATTTGAAGAATTTTCTGCGTGCAGGCCACGGCCATGCCGCCATGGGAGTAAATGCAGTGAGCGGTTTCATGACGATCTACTGACTTTGATCTGCTCTACTTGAGCCGCGCAGCCACAAGATCAACACATGTCATGCTCAGGAATGCCGACCAGCCTGCAGGGCTGTGCAGGGAACAACTTGATATTCTGATAACGTGATACTCTAAACTACTTTAATTTATATTGACAAAAATTCATATTAGGCCACCAAACTACCGTAACAGTGATTCAAATTTGGCTGCAAAAAGGCTACACTCTAGTCTGGTTAACTTAGATAACTCACGTTTGTTAGATACACTTGATATTGAAATTACATTTTAATTTTCATAATTTATATTCGTTATACATACATTCCTTCTTTGAGTTGATTGTATGAACATATATATCGATCGCTTCTAGATTGCAATTTTTAACGTTCTAAATTAACTTCCCGAAAGGTTAATGCTCCAAAGAGGTTGATCACCATCCTCGGTTCTCTTCTTGTTCTACGAGTTGATGCTCGACAAGTTCAAATCTTGTCTTTCAAACAACTAGCCACACATTACTAATACATGACTCAAAGAACTTACAATCTAGATGGAGCTTGGAGGACACTGACTTGACTGGTTGAACGCCTCGCCGGAACAAAGATTTATGGACTTACGTTAGCTCTGCAGCTAAACATAATTAGAAGATTGATAACCTCTGACTGACGATACGGAGGCAGAGTACTTTGTATTTTGTCATGTGGTTGATGAAACGATGTATAACCCGATGCAAATTTCCGGCATTCAACTCCTACTTCATACATTCGAATATCTTTATACAAACATACCAGAATATCTTTACAAGCAGAAGGTAAACATCGATTACAAAGAAAAGCGAGCGTCTTCCATATTCAACTCAAAACTAGTGGCTGTACCAAATCCCTCATGGATTAGTTACCTAGTGAGATAATATACGACTAGGAATATGACCACAAACGATGCGACTAGCGTAAACATTCTCTTGCTTGACTTGGTCTCGAAGACCTGACCAAAATGAAACCCATCACAATGTCATGAATTAAGAGGGAACCCTCAGGAGGATAAATGATGGAAAAATATGTATAATTTCAAAAACGAAAACGAAAAATTTGGAAAGGAGTACAGCACCAGAAATCTAGAGAATGTACCATCTTAAACTTGTCCATTGTACCAGATAGCACTCCCCTCGATGAATCCATATCATTTCCCTGAATTAGACGATGCACATTACAAACCAGGTAGACCAATGTCCGGCCAAAACAAATCTAAATTATAGAGAAAAAGATTTATTAGCTGCAGCGTACATACCATTCTGTCCAACATGTGATTATGGCTCTCCACCTCCTCATGTATATCACCTGACAACTGTTTGAGAGAAAGGGATAAGTATTTGGCGGGGACATACTAAAACCTATGAAGCTATAAATGCTGACATCAATTGCTATCTATCTTCAGATAATATTTTGTTAAATCGATAACTTCATAGCAAAACTAGTCTTAAACAATGGAGGATTTGAGACAGACATTAAGTTCAACAGGTGATGTTTAATTACATTGTCAAAAGACAAAGGCAAAGAACCATTGAATGATGTCATTGTTGCTGTATGTAGTGCCAATAAAGCAAAGGGTAAAGATAAAGAATTAAGCAAGATTTTAAGACATTACCATACTACAAATTCAAAAGCTACATTTTTCCTCCTCAACCTATTCAAACAGTAGAAGAAAGCATACCGCTGATTATGCAACAACACAAAATCTTACTGATATCATGACATAAAAACCAATGTATATCTAAGTCAGTCAAAAAACCGGTACAATAACAATTGTATTACAACTTTTCAAAGTTTCCAGGCACTGAAAGACAAGGGAATGAAGGGGGTAGGGGGAGGGGAGCTTACTCTCTTCAGCAAATTGACTCTATCTTGCAACCCGTCCACAGCCCTTTCATTATCATGTTCATCAATTTCATGGGAGTAGGAAGCTGAGGCCCTAATGCCACCCTCCTCAATGCCATCAAAAAGAGCAACTTTGTTGCCACGGAAGTCCCTAAATATAAAGAAGATCATTTCGGTAAGTCAGAATGATCAGCAAAACATGCCATCAACAACAGATATTACTTCCTACAAATGTAACATGGGAAAACTCCACAAAATTCAGCAGAATCCTTTTTTCGAGTGAAAAATTTTAAAAAGCTTCGGTAACAATCACAAGCAATCAAAGAGGTTACAGTATCCAATCAATCAAACCATTTTCTCATCAAATTATTGCTAAGACATCCCAAACAGGCAATACCATGTCGAATGAACGCTTACTCGAATATAAATCTCGTTTTATTTTGTACAACCGAAGCAATTCGTACACGAATTGGTCCAAAACAGCCTAAACATAACTTAGCAGAAACACTGAATGAACCCGAAAACTAACCCAAAAATGCTCCAAGACCCAATTCGGATATGGGTTTTCGAGTTCACGAAATTCCCAAAGTTTATCCCTCAGTTACGAATCAGTACACACAACAAACAGCAAAATCGCATAGCTAAAACCACACCACTACACAGATCCAAATACAAATTTACTATTTACGTAACACAATCAGGTAAATAAGCTTCAGAACGTTCTGGAAAACGAAAGATGAAAATTTACAAAACACCAAATGAATCGGATTCGTATGGGAACCGGAATCGAGCTAACCTTCGAGCATTCATGACTGCAATTCGATCCAGTCGCTGCTTCTTTGATCCTTGAATTCGAGTTCTGTGAAGCAAATTCGAATTTTTCCAAAAATCTTAAAACAGAAACCGAAAATTAAAATCATGATAAAAGCAGAGGTGATGAACTATTCAGATCTGAGATACTGGGAGCGACGAAACGTACCGTTTTGGAGGGAAGCGGAGGATTTTTCCCTGCGGAGTAAGAAAGGAGGGGGAAAATGGAGGGGACGAGGAGGAGTTCGACTGATCTAGCGGGGGAAGGAAGGAAGAAAGATTTTATTTGTGGGTCCCAATTGGATGATGGGTATGAAAATATTGGACAAGAATTGGAACGTTTTTACTGCACTGGGATTTGTTACTACTGGCGGTAAATGGATTTTTTAGTTGCGAGGAAAACAATCCTGTTTATGCATGTTGATGTTGTTTCGTCCGCCAATTTTCTTTCTCCTTCACAAACTAAAAATTTCGCAGATAAATTATTGCTATGGTTTGTCAACAAAAAGAAAAATTAAAATAGCATCAGGATGTAGCCAGTTATAAGTACGTATCAAACTTGCATTAATGTACTTAAATTCTATTCGATGAAGTGGAAGCAATTATTAGAAGACAAAGATCGACTTTAATTATTTGAGGATTCTACTTGTAATAAGTTACTCTTCTCCATAAAATCATATTGACGAGAAGGATAGACACAAACATGTTGGTTTTTCACCACTCAAGTTGTAGTATGTTCTAATGGTTAGATTGTTCGACTATTAAAGTGATATGTGAGTTGGACAAACTTAAATAAGATATAAAGATGGATAAAAGTGTTAAATTTTCTTGTCAGGTTAGATTTTGCTACATGACAACCGATGATGCTATATAACAAATATTTATCGACTTATTAGGTAATTTTCGAACACGTGACAAACATTCGTAGACGTGTGATGCTTTTAAGACCTATTGGGCTGGACTGGAATCTGAATAGGGATTTTCAAACCCGGACAGAGCCCATCATATATAAAATTAAAATAAAAAGTGTAAAAAAGCAAAAAAAGGTGCGAACTTCATCGTCGTCTTCAATTGGCGAGCATCCAATTCTGGTCGGACTGTCACCCTAATCCGTACAAGGTAGGGCTTGTTGGAATCCGAATACCTCACATCTCAAGCTCAATGGGCTTACTGAATGATGACGCCGCCGCCACCACCGCCACCACCTTCGAGTCCTCACCGGAGATGGTGAAATTTCTCTGCGACCGGTTGCTTGACCGGGCCCAGCCCATCTCGGAGCGTTTCAGAGCCTTGTTCTCTCTCCGCAACCTCAAGGGCCCTGCCCCTCGCGACGCCCTCATTGCCGGTTCGTTTTCTTTACTTTTCAATTATTTATTGTTTATCATTATATTTTCCGGAGCCAATTTGCGTGAAAATTCAGGACTTGTTTCGGATTTTCAATTTCTAGAAAAAGGGTAAACTTTTTTTATGGATTGATTAGAAATTTGGAAGTAGTTGTTTTGATTCTTAAAGCGAAATTAACTATTTTATCTTTGAGCTGAAGTAAAAGTTTGGACTTTGGGCAAGGAGCTGGTGGCTCGGTTAGTTAAGAGCATTCTTCTGTTTGATTTGCCCCCTCCCTCGCATGTATTAAAAGAAAAAGTTTAGAACTTTGGATGAACATTGTGACGGCAGTAATCGGTTTTACTGGATAGGTGAACATTGATCATTAGGACCTTAGGTATTTGTTGATGGACAGGGCGTTACACTGAACTTCTGGCATTACAATTACAAATGCTTGGAAATGGGCTGGAAGTAAACATGCTATATATTGGAGTTTTTTGTTTTGTTCTTCGTTAAATTAATGGATGTTTTACCTTCGTAGATCTCCTGTGATAAATAATTGTGTATTGGTAATTAGTGTTGTTCTAATTGGATTAAGGATATGTGGTTTCCTCTGTAGCAACGAGGGATCCTTCCAATTTGTTGGCACATGAGGCTGCATTTGCATTGGGTCAAATGCAAGATGTGGATGCAATCCCTGCCTTAGTAGCCATTCTAAATGATTTCTCTTTGCATCCTATTGTTCGTCATGAGGTGAGCTTTGCCACCTCAATCTACTAATATTCCTCGCGTTCTTGTAATACATCTTATTTTTCTTATTGCATTTTATGCAGGCAGCAGAAGCTCTTGGTGCAATTGGTTTAGAGAGCAATGTTCCTCTTTTGAAAAATAGTCTAGCTCTAGATCCCGCTCAGGAGGTCAAACAAACTTGTGAATTGGCCCTTAATCGGATTGAGCAGTTGAAGGATGCTGGTTGTCAATCAAATGATGAAAAATCACCTTTTATGTCAGTTGATCCTGCTGCACCTGCTACTTCTGGTTCTTCAGTAAATCAGCTAAGGTCTGCATGGTTATCATCCATGGCTTATATTTTTTTTCTTCCATTTATTCTAATATGTTAGATGTCTGACTTGTGTCAATCATTTTAAGGGAAGTTCTTCTGGATGAAAACAAAAGTATGTATGAGCGCTATGCCGCTCTCTTTGCACTGCGGAATGATGGTGGAGATGAAGCTGTTACCGCTATAGTTGATTCCTTGGGTTCAAACAGTGCTCTCTTGCGTCACGAGGTTTGTTTATTATCTAATCTATCATACTGAACTTTATAAATTTGGACTGGGCGCTCACGTACACTCACACACACACACACTCTCTCTCTCTCTCTCTCTCTCAAAATGGCTATTTGATTTGCTAAACTTGCACAAGGATGCTTAAAGTTTAATGTTTCTAATTGCTTTTGGAGTATGATCAATTGACATTCATGCAAAACTAGCATGTTTACACCTCTTATCTGATATAGATTTGCTCGGTGTTTTGTCACCTTCATGTCTTCTTTTCTGTGACTTTCAGGTTGCTTATGTGTTGGGCCAATTGCAGAACAAAGCTGCTTCAATCGCTCTTTCCAACATACTTATGGATAGAAATGAACACCCAATGGTTAGACATGAAGCTGCAGAAGCTCTTGGTTCCATTGCAGGTATGACTGCTTGATACAATTATGTTTCCAATTATATGTCTGTCTATTGCGTAGTAGCTAATTGGCGTTTTGGGCTATTTAATTAAGTTACTAGTTTGTGTGTAGATGACCGAAGTGTATCACTTCTTGAAGAATTTGCGAGGGATCCTGAACCCATTGTGTCACAGAGTTGCGAAGTTGCTCTAAGCATGCTGGAATTTGAGAGATCAGGAAAATCCTTCGAGGTATGCATATCAAACTATGGTTTGAAACCAATCAAACTCTAGATTTAGTACATCTTATCAGGAGAACGACTGAAGTCTCCGTTTTATGTGCAGTTTCTCTTCATGCAAGCTCCTCTAGTGCAATAGATAATGACAGACAGTTTCCATCACCCGGTGCATTTCATCCGTACACCAAATCATTCCGATGCAGACAGTTCATCCATGTCGTGGAAGCATGAAGTTGGGGAGAAACAGAAGGAACCAAATTTTTTACTTTGTCCGAATTGAATGAATTAAGCTGTATTGTTATACATATTGTTACAAAGTTGGTAGTTTGGGATTATTGGTGTTTGTGTAATAACCTACACGATCATTAACAAATAAAATCACATTGCATAGAGTAATATACAAATGTGAAATTTTGTTCCTTCCAAGTGCCGGCCACGTGTGTGTGGGCGATCGACCAGATGCGAGCGGTTGACCGAACCATTCACGTCGGTAGCTCGAACCATTCACGTCGGTAGACCGAACCAAGCGCAGCTCTTATCTCTAAAGTGGCCTCTTGACATTGACTTGGTTGCAAAAAGCTTCTTTATCACACTTTAATACATTATCGTTCAATAAAAAACGCAAGAAAGCTGTTTTTTTTTGAAAGGCCGCAAGAAAGCTTCTTTAGCACGTTGTGATGTGTTCCCTATCGGGACTTAAAAGTGTGAGTGTGATGATTCGGGGCGGGTCGGGTGAAAAAGGGACGGAGCCCTCGGTCCGTTAAAACCAGACAGCAAGCGACAAGGAGCCCGTGTGGAGAACCGAAGTTATTCTTTCTTCTTCAAAATCCCAGCAAGAGTCTCTCACTTCTCAGTTGCGAGAGAGAAAGGGAGAGAGAGAGGAATGGAGAACCCGCAGGCCCAGAAGCCATGGAAGGTGGAGTACGCGAAGTCGTCGAGATCGTCGTGCAAGACCTGCAAATCCCCCATTGAAAAGGAGACGCTCCGCCTCGGCAAGATGGTCCAGGCCACCCAATTCGACGGCGTCATGCCTGTAACTCACTCCCCCTTCACTCTCTCTCTATTTCTCTCTCTCTCTCTCTCTCTCTCTCTATATATATATATATCTTTCTCTCTCTCTCTAACCCCCATTTCACTTGCACCGTTGCTCTCATTGCCATTGGCTCATTGGTATTAACCCAAAACATCGATAGTGTGAGAATTTTAATTTTAGAAATTTTGAATTTCTTTTATTTTTTGTGCATATTATGCTGCATTTTCATTTACTTTGCAGTTTTGTTAGTCAAAAGTCTGGAGCTTTTTGTTCGTTTTCACATTGTTTAGTCTCTGTTTGTTTCGAAGTGACGTAGTTATTCAGAAATGTTTGATAATGTTTGTGTTAGTCGGAAGGTGTTCTTCGGCGGATAACTTTCGAAGATTACATGAGGAGATGCTTGTGAGAAATGTTTTTATTTCTTCTTTCTCAGAAAAGAGACAACTTTTCCAGCTCTATTGTGAAGTTGACATATTTATCGAAACATAATCAAGAAAACTTATCCTATTTCCGCTTGAAAAAACCGGAGCTTTATAGATTTATATTGCTCTACTTTTGTTTTCTTGTTCGATTTCCTCAAATACTACCACATATATAAATGTTTGGTTTGTTTTTGTTTTCTGAATCAGATGTGGAACCATGCTGATTGCATAATGAAGAAATCGAACCAAATAAAATCGTACGTGTTACTGTAATGCTTATCGTAATCTCCCTTGAATTTAGTGGATGAATGCAGTGATTAACTAATTGCTTTGGTCTTGCATTTAGAACTGATGAGGTTGAAGGCCTTGAGCTCATTCGTTGGGAAGATCAGCAGAAAGTTAGAAGTTATGTACAAAGTGGTGGACCCCCGGATACATCACCAGCAACAAGCGAGTTCACTACTAAAGAATGTGGTATTGAAGTTTCGCCAACTTCTCGCGCTACTTGCAAGCAATGCAGCCAAAAGATTTAAAAAACGGAGGTTGGTAATGATGTATCTCTACCATTTCTATGTTCAGGAAGTGAATTTTCGTCTTAGTTAATCTATAAAAACCTATCATCATCATATATAAGATAC